TACCAAAGGGGCTCGGGAGAGTTTCAGCTTGGTTTCAGATTATTTTTACTAAGTTAAGTTGTGATGGTTCTTGTTTTCTCGCATTTGCGATAAGGAAGTCGGAAATGCAACCATCGCATTTTCAACTCATGGATGTTGGGTAGGGACCTTGAATTTGCGAGGATTGTGTCGCATTTGCAAGATTGTGCGTCGCTTTGGCGACTGGTCGCGTGGGGAGGGGGCTCCGTATTTGCAAAATATTTTGTCACAATTGCGATATCTGCCGGGTCTATCAAGGTTCACTTTTGCGTAGCCTTTGTTCCCTTTTGCGGTGGTCACATTTGCGATCAGATGGTCACATTTGGGAACCCCCTGGTACGCAAATGTAACATACTGTAGTTGGTAATATATTTTGTATTTCGGTACTTAGTCCATTTTATTATAATTTTTGCCCTAGACTCGGCGAGAGACGATTTTTGGAGGGAATTTTCACACAGAACTATTGGGCAAGTGATTTTGACTCGATTTTGATATTATAACTTGATTTCTTATAGATTTTAACATCAAAATCATGAAATTTGAAGAGAGTACTTGGGAATTTTTGACTATATTTTTAAAAATAAAAATTTAAGATTTGAGAGTCAAATTGGACTTAGTTTTACAAACTAATCATATATTTGGACTCGTGGGGTTATGGGTAGTCGATATCTACCCCTCTCCTATTATATATAAATAGATAGAAGATAGATTTTCATTTTTTTATTTTAAAATAACTTTAAAACTTCAACTTGAAACTACTCCCCAAATTGAATAGGTAGTTATTTTTTTTTTTTGAATATAGTTAATTATAAGATATCTATATTTATTAATTCAAATAGAATAACTAACTAATTCAAAATTTAAAAAGGTTTTTTTAGTTAAAAAGATAGTTTATTTTGTCTTTACAGTGCCACTTGGCTTTTTGTGATTATGCTACTTATCTTAATAATATGCTTTTGCCTCTCCTTTTTTCTGTTATATAGAAAAGAGAAGTTGATCGA